TGGCCGCTCCCGGCCACCCCAGCCTCGACCTGCTGGGCTCCGGCGATCCTTCCACCTCAGTCTTCCAAGTAGCCGGAACTACAGGCACACGCCACCCGCCCAGCTGGTTTTTGATTTATTGTAGAGACAAGGTCTCTCCAGGGTGCACGGGCTGGTCTCAAACCCACAGGCTCGGGCCATCCACTCGCCTCGGCCTCCCAAAGTGCTGGAATGACAGGCTGAGCCACCGAGCCCGGCCTCTGCTGAAGATTGAAGATGGTTTATTCTGAGCCAAATGTCAGTGACCCTGGCCCCTGAGCCCCTTCCCAGAGGTCCTGAGAGCGAGTGCCTGCCGTGGTTGGGTGGTGGTTTGGTTATCCACAACTTAGGAAGTTACAAGAAATCGTAAATCAATATGTGTGGGAGTGACTGCAGTCTGGGAAGATGGGACTTCTCCACGCGGGGGCTTGCCAGGGACAGGTGGATTTCAGGATTCCCTGACCAGTGCTCTGCAGCGCCCAGCTGGGGCGCTTGGAAGTCAGTGGAGGAGATGTGCTGTTGGAAGACGGGGCGAGGAACCCCGAGTTTCTATAGAAGTGGGTGGAACCTCCGGGGGCAGGCGGACTTCAGAGGGAACAGAAGCGTCTCAGAGGGCCGGGAGTCGGCGTCCCCAAGAGGCGGCTTCATGTTATCGAGTGGCTGATGCACAGTGTAGGCGGCCAATTCTGTTACCTTCACTTGCACATGGAAAGCTGACCAGCGTAAAGATTACACTTCGTTTTTTTGGCTGGGCGTGGTGGCTCAAGCCTGTCATCCCAGCACTTGGGGAGGCCGAGGCCAGAGGATTGCCTGAGCTCGGGGGTTCGAGACCCGCCTGAGCAACTCGGTGAGACCTCAACGCTACAGTGAATCAAAAAATTTGCCAAGCATGGTAGCACACGCCTGTGGTTCCGGCGACTTGGAAGGCTGAGACGGAAGGATTGCCAGAGCCCAGCGGGACGAGGCTGTGGTGGCTGTGAGTGGCCACTGCACTCCAGCTTGGGCCACAGAGTGACG